TGGGGATTATGAAGCAGTTCAAGAGGCTCTTTTGCAAATAACCTCTAGGTTGCGGCATCATTTCTTTCGTGATGCTTTTCCTTCTATTCACCATCCTTCAAATCCTGCCTTCCTGGACCAACCACCTCCATTCCCACCATTTATGGGAAGGAGGGAATTCTCTCCTCCAGAACTGTATTCTAATCTAGGCCCACCATTTCATAAGTATGATCCTCGCGGTGGCCCACCAATGCCTCCTCATGGTGGTTTTCACCCCCATGATGATCACCCCATTTTTATGCACAATGTTCATAATAGACCAGGCATGCCTCCTCATCTGTCAGAAAGGAAACCGTGGGGGCCTCAGGTATCAACCAGCTTACAAATGCTTCAATTCTTGCAATGTTGATTTTTGTTGAAAAACAGTTTTGTCAGTTAGCACATGCTTCTTTTGCATAAAGTCGTAATTGATGCTAACTTTTGTAACCTGCATTGGATATTGCATGGGTTGATGATGTACTTGCTCAAGGAACAAAATATGTAGCTGAACTAGATTATGACTAGCGAAATCATAAAGAAGTAGATATTGCTGCCATTTCATGTACTCGTTGGATTGTGATTAGCAAAATAGTGAAGAGGTAGATATTGCTGCCACTTCATGTATTTATTGGATTTAATTTTGTTTTCCCATTACTTGCCTGCAGGGATTTATTGAAGGTTCTGGCCCAATGGGCTTCTCGGATTTTCCTGGAGGTCCTCACAGAAGAATTTCGGGTTTTGGAGGGTATATGTGTCGTTATGTCACTGTTCTCAATTCAATAATCAATGGCATTATCACCATTCTGCTTAATTAGTTTCCTTTATTTATTTATGCAGAGGAAGCCAACCAGCTATTATTACAAGTACTACAGTTGAAGTTGTAGTACCTCGTTCTCTTGTTCCTACAATATATGGAGAAGATGGTGCATGTCTGAAACAAATTCGTCAGGTACATTTTTTTTTCCTCCATGAAAAATGTTTATTCCTAAAGCAAAAGTACCTGGAAAGTCTCCTGGTACAGCTTTTCTGGGTTCATATATTTTGCATACGTCCTATAATAGTTATTTTGAAAGAAAAAGTATAATATTACAATTAAAAGCATCAACAGAATGCAAGCCCTATAGAAAAACCTCGATATGACAGTCAAAGTATCAATCAGTTTCTGAGGTCCTCACAAGAATAAAAACTTAAGGGACCTGATTTGATAGTGAGTAGCAACTTTATGCAAATAAACTCAAGATTTGATTTTCTTGACTAACATAACAGAAATTGGAGATTGATTTTAGTAGAGTTGGTTGGGGATTGATATTAGTAAGGTTTATCTTTCTTTCCGCCTTCTCTTCCCTATACTTTAGCCTGTCTTAAGTTTTTTGTCAGAAGTGTTTGGATGCCAACCTTCTGATTGTTTGTGTTCATAACTCAGGCAAATACGAAAATCCAATAATTAATCATATATGAGACAATTACTATTCTATGTTTAGGATTTTTGCTGGTTTTTGTTAATCAGCGTCCTTGTCTTTTACATATATAAAACATCTAGATAAGTTTTATTGAATTGTGTCTGTCACAAATAAACCCAACTTAAGAGTTCTGATCTGCGACACGCTGCACGCATCAAGAACTGAATTCCCTCGAGAAATTTTAGGTTCAAACAACCTAGAAATAAAAATGATCTCAATATTTTATTAAAGGGTTGAAAGTCAGATTAACTAGACACCAGAACATCCATAGTGAAATACTTTCAAACTATAAGTTTCCAAATTCTCAAAAAGAACAATAAACATTCTAAGTCAACTGATCTAAGGGGTTCTGAGAGGGAAAAATGAGAGGCCCTAGAGAGAGTTAAGACTAAGGGAGGTGACTGAGATAGGGGAGGAAAAGGAGAAAGCCTTTTCTGAGTTGTGGGGATTGAGGGAGCATAAACAAAGATAAGAGAGAGAGAGTATTATGAAAATGGAAACAAAAATAGAGAGAAAAGAGAGAGGACACACTGTGAAGACATAGAGAGAAGCAGGGGTTCTGATACAAAAAGAAAAAGGGGGAAAGAGGAAAGAAGGGGAGCCATCAAGCTAAAGGTGCTAGAGGATTTTCAATCTGGATCTCTTAGGTTATCCATTTACTTAGATTTCTTAGTGCACAAGAAACTGAAGTTGTTAGGAACTGGGAGTTGCCCTGGAAAGCCCAAAAACAGAAAGAAATTCGAGGAGGATGCGACGAGAGAGTAAGCTATGACCAGATGCTTTACCAACCAAGAGTAGCAAATCAGTCGTAGGCTGAACACTTTTGCATGGCTAACGTTGCCACCCTGGGCCGGACAAAACTCATAAATGAAGATTTCTGGCCATTGGAATTAAAAATTTTATTGTTATCTGTGAGGGGAAAAAATCAGAAGGAATAAGGGTGAGTGAGAATGAGAGGGGCTTTAGGGTTTCAATTCATTTTTGGATAATGAAGTAGAGTGGTTGTGGGGAGCTTGACAGGAATTCTATTGTATCAAAGGCTGGAAAATTTGGGTCCGGAATAAGAAGGGAATGAGCCATAACCTGTGGGATGGGTATGAATAGGAGGGTTAGTGATGTGAAACCCAAGAACAATCAGCGTGATCTGGAACTCATATAGTTTCATTTAAAAGCATTAAAAGAATTGATTCTATAGAAATTCTCCATACTTAACCTGCTATCAAGAATGATAGAAAATAAGGTTACTGAAAATGAAAAAAATAGAATGAAAAAACGCCATTAAGTCGTATCTTCATAAGTAGATCCACTCCTTACTCAATAAGATGGTAGAAAAACCTCTCTTGAAAAAAAACATTCTTAATATTATTGAGATAATTTCTGAATGACTTAGAATGAAGATTTGGTAGCCTATTTATAGGTTAAGACATGTAAATAAAAAATAAATAAAATCTCTTAATTTAATTTGCAATTACATAAGACATAAATTAAAAATTAAAGACTAATTTTCTAAGATAGATTTAATCTTTTCCTTTAATTAAAAGAGATTGTGGCCAAATTAAGGAGAAGATATGAAAATGAATTAAAAATTAAAAGCTAATTTTCTACTTAAGATAAATTTAGTTTTTTCCTTTAATTAAAAGAGATTGTAGTCAAATTAATGAGGAGATATATGAAAATTTAGGGCTGGTCATAAGGTTTCTTTTTTGGCCAATTCCCTCTTCTTTCTTTGGATTGAGCATTCTCTTTATTGTCCATGTCCATGCTCACATCATCCCCTCTCATTTAAAAAACGATTTGTCCTTAAATCAGACACTTCCTATGTAGGGGTTTCACCAATTCTGTTTTTTTTTATAGAAAATGTCTTGCAAAACAACATCGTTAAACAAAGAAGGTTTCAGGTGAGTTAATGATTTTTTCTTGAAAGATGGCCTCCTTAACTCCTTTTTCATATAGTAACATTCTCTCTTCATCTTTTTCAATCCTTCATTTCTTCCGGACTTTATGGAGTTTTTGAGCTGCTGTTGATTTTTGAATACCTCCTCAAGTGATAGCGGTGCAAGTGTAAAATTCTGACTAATGCTAAAGAAATAACGATTCCTATAGCCATCATACGCTTATCATACTGTCAGGATCTTCCAAGTAGTATATTACTAGTATGCATAGACACAACATTACAACGTCTTTTATTAATGTATCGCCCAATAGAGAAGGAAACTAATACATGCTTAGTCACACTTTCATTTCTCTACAATCAGTCAATCATTGCAATTTGTAAGGGTGAGAATGGTGCGTGCTTGTCAATCCAAGTTTATCAACTAGGATAGTACTAACAACGTTGATGCAGTTACTCCCATCTATAATGTTACTACATTTCTCTATAATCAATCAATCACTGCAACTTATATGGGTGAGGATGGTGCGTGCTTGTCAACTCAAGTTTATCAAGTAGGATAGTACTAACAACGTTGGTGCAGTTACTCCCATCTATAATGTGACTACATACCTTCTCGTTTATAAGGTAACGAGTGTGGAAGATATTCTCTCTCTGGTTATTTTCTTTCGGTTTGACTTGGATATTCAGAACTCTCATGATAACTAAAGCTTCTGCATGAGTTGGATATTCAAAACTTTTCTCAAAATCCTCCAATTGCAGCATGCTATCATTATCTTTGCTCTCGCAATCACTGACGCTATCAATTCCACCATCATCTCTCAATAGCATGATTTTTTTATTTGGGTATTGAGAGGCAACATGTCCTGTTTCGAGACACCTAAAATATTTAATTGTACTATGCTTTTGAGATGAGTTAGGTATCATACCTTTTGTATCAAGTAGTGCAAACTCTTTTTTCTTCTTGTATGCTCCCTTGTTTTCTTCTTTCTTAAGCCATTCCGAGCTGTTGGTAGAAGTGACATATGATGTGCTCCTCCTTTTGTACTTGAGTTGTCTCTCGATGTTCATGGCCATGTGCACTATGTCTTCTACCTCTATATAGTGCTGTAATTCCACCATGTTGGTAATGTCTCTGTTGAGACCTCCGAGGAATCTCGCTGTGGTTGCTTTGGGATCTTCCTCAATATTGTCCCTAATTATGGCCGTTTCCATCTCCTTATAATAGTTCTCAACGGACATAAATCATTGCGTCAAGCGTTGCAATTTTTAATACATTTCTCTATAATAATAAGAGGGTACGAACTTTTTTCGCATGATGGCCTTCATCTCTCTCCAAATGGAGACTAGTCGTTCTTCGTTACCCGTCTAGTGAGAATTAATTGATCTTACTACGCTAGGACATAATCAGTAAATTCTACAGCTACCAACTTAATTTTTTTTTCGTCGTTGTAGTTGTGGCAGTCGAAGACCAGCTCTACTTTTCTTTCCCACTTTAGGTAGGCTTTTGCATTATTCCTACATTTGAAGGGTGGTATATCATTTTGATGGAGCTGATATTATTGTCATTCTTATCTTCTCTCCTTCTAACCCGGTCTTCCTCCTCATTATTACAGGACCAGGCCTCATTTCAGGATGTTGAGTTCTAGGCCGCCTTGTATTAAGGGTCTCGTGTCTTGTTTCACTTCAA